AAGTATGATTTTGAACTATAGATTGTATCTCATTATTTATAGCTTCCTTCCAAAATGGAGCATCTACTGATTTCATTGCATCTTCAAATGTAACTGGAGAATCTTCTACAAGTAATGCATAGAAATCTTCATGGACCTTTTCTATTCTAGTTCTTTTACTTCTCCTAGGCTCCTCTGGACTTTCTAGTGGTCTAATTTGTTTAGAACTAGTTTCACCTTGATTAGAACTAGGATCTGAATTATTAGAGCTAGGGCCTGTGTTGTTTATTCTGGTCTTGTAAGGAAAAATATTTTCAAAGTAATGTGCATCCCTAGCTTCAATTATGGTGTTGTTGGCTATCTCATTAATGTCAGAGTTGATTATTAAAAATCTATTTGCATTACTATCAGAAGCATAGCCAATAAAAATTCCATCTACAGTTTTAGGGCCAATCTTCTTTCTTTTATTCTCAGGTATTTTGACTTTTGCTAAGCACCCCCACACTTTTAGGTGATCTAAATTAGGGTTTCTATTCTTCCAAATTGTGTAAGGGGTTTTATCAGATTTCTTGAATGGAATTCTATTTAGTATATGACATGCAGTCATGAGAGCTTCTCCCCATAAATTTTCTGGCACACCAGAATTAATTAACATTGAGTTTACCATGTCCATTAGTGTTCTATTCTTTCTCTCAGCTACTCCATTAGATTGAGGTGTATATGGAGCAGTTATTTCATGAATAATTCCATTATCTTCACAGAATTGTTTTAATTCATTAGAAGTGTACTCACCACCTCTATCTGATCTTAGTATTTTAATTTTCCTATCCAACTGATTTTCAACTTCTGCTTTATATATTTTAAATTTGTTTATGACTTCATCTTTAGTCTTAATTAAGTAGAGGTAACAATATTTAGAGCAATCGTCTATAAAAGTTACAAAATATTTGTTACCCCCTCTAGTTGTTCTTCCTGAATCACAAACATCACTATGGATGAGTTCTAATATCTCAGAATCTCTATCAATAGTTTTAAATGGTTTCTTAGGAAGTTTGGCTTCTACACATATTTCACATTTTTCATCATCTTTTATATTAAGCTTTGGAATTATATTGAGATGCATCAATCTTTTAATTGAATTATAATTCACATGTCCTAATCTTTGATGCCAAGTGATGGAAGGTTCAATATTCAAAGCTATTGGAGATGCAAGAGTAGAATTCTTAACATTCAATTTAAAAAGACCATCACATAAGAAACCTTTTCCAATGAAGTTCAAACCCTTAGTTATTACAACTTTATTTGATTCAAAAACAAGTTTGTAGCCTTGTTGCACTAATAAAGATCCGCTAATTAAATTTCTCCTAATGTCTGGTACATGATGGACATCCTGCAGGATCAAAGTCTTATCAGAAGTCAGCTTTAGGTTGATCCGACCTATTCCGGATACAGGAGCCACATTATTATTTCCCATTGTCACAGTTCCTCTACTTGAGACCTGATAGGTGGAAAACAAAGATTGATTAGAGCAAACGTGAATATTAGCTCCAGTGTCAATCCACCAATCATTTGCTTGAAAGGTCATGTTTACTTCAGGAGTGAAGAGAACAGACCTGAAAGCAGCCTCAGCTGGACTGGAAGTCACCATGTTTACTTGTGACTTATTAGGTGGAGGTCCTCCCTTCCTAGGCTTGGGTGGTTCAGTTTTCTTGAAAAAGCAGTCCTTAGCAAGATGGTTGGTTCTTCCACAAACGAAGCAGGCTCGACGTTCAGCTCCTTCCTTCTTTTGAAAGTGAACATGGTTCTTATTTTGATGATAGGGTTTCTTCTTAAATGTTTTATTTTGATTTTGGTGGAAGGGACGTTTCTTGTGTTGGGGAAAGGGTTTGGATTCAACATTGTTTACTTTGGGTTCTTTGGGTTCAGATTTTGTCACATTTTTCTCCCTGAGTCTATGTTGCTCTTCAATTCTAATAGAATTCAATACTTGCTCTAGGGTAAGATCTCCTTGGGTATGGTTAAGGTTTTTGGCAAAATCTGACCAGGACTCGGGAAGTTTGTCTATAAGACAGGCTATCTGAAACGTTTCATCTAAGATGGATCCATTCACTTTTAATTGGTGAACTATATGTTCAAATTCATGAATTTGCTCATTCATTGGTTTAGAATCTACCATTTTAAATTTGTTAAAATCAGAAGCTTTAAATCTTTTAATTCCCATATCATCTAAACCATACTTTTTCTCTAGGGTTTCCCACAGAACTTTAGCATTAGTGATAGTATAATATATATCATATAACCTATCAGATAAAGCTCCTAAGATTCTGTGTAGACAATGATACTCTATTTCTTGAGGTGTTCTTGGGATAGGAATGGAATCTGTGGAGGAAGATGAGGAAGATTGCCTAGTAACTGGTCTAGATGAAGATGGGTTATCTGGTTCTATGGCTGTTATTAGATGTAGGGTTGTTAACCAAAATCTCATTTGGTTTTGCCAACGACGGAAATTGTTCCCATCAAACTTCTCTGGTTTAGCAGACATAATTTCACTTGTAGCCATAATCTGATGATGAATGAATAGTTTTGTTATTATAATGCAACAGAAATATATAAAGCATTCATTCAACAGAATAATCATGCAGTGTAACATTTCGTTTTTAAGTATTGCAGACATCATTAACATGAAAATCAGAATGCTAATCATGATACTATTCTAAACAGCACTAATTAGTTTCTTGGATTGTTAGGAATATAATCTGTTTAGAGTGTAATTAGCACAAAATGCAGTTTTAACAGAAATAGATAATGATTGAAAATAGATATAAAATTAAACTGAGTTTAGAATATAGCCTGATGGTCGAGGCGTGCAAGCACTGTCCCAAGAAACTAATTGCCCCCTCTCGTACAGGGCTACGCGGCAAAAGTCCCCGGAGATACAACGACCCTCGGTCAGGCGACCTCCTTCTCGCCGGCACGAGCTTCAAGAAGGCTTTGTGAATTCTTCGTGACTTTCAGGGAACCAACAAAAATATAACAAAGGAAGAGGAGAATTTTGTGTTTTTCACACTGTGTTTTCTACCCTCGCAGCTTGCTGTTTATATAGAGGTTGAGAATGAACGTTTTTCAATACCGAATTAAATCCTCATAAAAACCTTTTTTCCGTTTTGATTCTGTTTTAATTCTCATGAATATTACCGTTTCATTTACGTTTTAATTCAGTTTTAAAGTTCATAAATCTCTCCAATTAATTCTGGCCGTTAAACATTTTAAAAATGTTAATCACGTTTTAAACAGTTCCAATTAGTAAAAATAAAAATAAAAAAGTTAGCATATTAAGGGCCTAATCCGGGGCTGCATTCGTGTCCGCAGGTCGTGTGCGCGCGCCACCCGACCCGACCCGAGCCCGGCCCGGCCGGCGCGCGCGTGTGTGGTGTGGAGCATAACCTTTTGTTTTCTTCTAGGCATAGGAGAGAAAGGGAAGGCTTATAAAGACTCTTCCTTCCTATTCCATTTCCTATGTGGGACTAAACTTTTCCTCTTTTCCTCTACAAACCCAAGTTTTTAAGTTATAACTCCAACAGTGCTACCGTTTGAATTTTGCTGCGTAGAAACTCCGAATTGGAACACTGTAGAGGATGCAGCAAAAGCATCTCTGACTTGGCGATCGACGTCCAACAGGAAGTAGTAGCGGTCGCTAATCTTAAAGGGATAAATATATAATAGAGGGGGAGCTTAGACTTAGATTTAGATCAGATTAAAGGGATAAGGATGTCTATTGAAAGTTGACCAACGCCACCGCCGTCGCTGTACTGGCCCCCCCAGATACTTGTTTCATCAACCGCTTAAAAAAGACTTCTTTACACGACGAGAAGCCAACAGCACCGCATTCCGTAAGGACCCCACAACCTTTTAAACCCAAGTGCGTTTCTTTCGAACGGAGACGCGGGGGGTGGGGGCGTTAGGCAAACCACACGGTGGGGGGGCAGATAGAATACCAACCAGAGTACTGCTCTGGCTGGCCAGAAACTGCGGCAGGTGTCGGCCATCCAATAGTAGGCCAGAACACAGCGGAACTTACCATCCGATGCGGTGCACCACCCCGCCGCCACGGGAGATGCCGACGCCACCCGTCTCGCCTGCATTTGCGTGTTGTTTACAGCTATAGACCCACCCCACCCCACCCAAAGTTTGGATTGACCTTCGCCTTCCCCCTGTGCTTGTGGACCTCCTTCGGTTTGAATTTTGGGTAAACGGCGGGAAGGGAGTTGGTAATGATTCCGAGATGTAGACATGCTTTCCCTCATACTCCAGTTCTTTCCGACTGTTCCAATCACTTCGAACAATATTGACATAAGGTACTAGTAAATTACTAGTTAGTTTGTGTAGGTCCTACATGCTGATCAAACACCATAGCTAAGATATAGAATATGGGTAAACTGCGATTAGTGCATCACTAAACAGTGAGAACTAGATGACACTGGCTTATCCTACGTCCAGTTCCCTGTAATCCAAATCTCAGATTCAAACTAATCCAGATCACAATAAGTGAGCAGATTAAATGTCCCTGATGGATGATGACCTGTGTTCAAAGCAACAGGGCTTACATGCGGCCTGTGCCTCAAATGCCCGTGCCATGTGCGATGATGTTGGAAGATCATTCTGCCAATTTAATTATTAGTTGCTGGAAACAGCCCTGCTGGTATTACGTCAAATCTCCCCAAAGTAAACAGGTATCCATCTATTCAAGTTTAAACTGTTAGCCTCATTTATATCCCTCTTTCACGCAGCATCCAAATCAAACAAGACGTGTGGCCCAGGAATATCAGTCATCCAGGGTCGACGACATATTGTTTTTATTTTAAAGAAAAAACATCAGAGTCTCTCTTTCAATGAGCTATTAACAGAGGAGCAAATAACCCAAATGCTGTAACTTATTCGAATTGGATTGGCATCTCCTTTTGACTTTTAAACAACAGCACCGGTGAAGTCACAAACAAATGAAGTGACAATGTAAAACTGTAAACATAAAATAATAATAATAATAATAATAATAATAATAATAACTTGTTTTCAGAATCACTTGGCACCTTAGTCCCATAATTGGCGCTTCTTCAAGTATCAAAGATGGGTTCGCTGAATTATTTGTAACAAACTCTACCTCTTGGGAAATTGACATGAACCAATTGAATGATGTGCATATCCATCCAGCGTAGAACTTCCAGCCTTTAAAAATCCTGCCAGAGTAACATAATAAACGAAAGCAACCATTTAAGATTGATGATACTGTTAATGACACTACTTTTCAGATTCATAATTTGGCAGGTCACACGCCTCAAATTCTTTTTGAGGAAAGATAGGATGCTGGAAATTAAAATGAGCCGAGTATAGATTTGTAATGAGAAAACATAAACCGAGATGATTTCCTGCCTTGTGAAAGACAGAAAGTCTTTCGCACTATAAGCAGAATTTCCATCATCAATAAAAACAGATTACCTGTCAAAAAGAGTATAAATTTGATTTGGTTTTCAGAAGCCAGATGCCGTGCTCTTGAATTTGAAATTGAAAAGGATAAAAACCTTGACAATCAGTCCTCCAGGCAGCTTTGAAAAAATCGATATCCCTGCATCCAGAAGTGGGGAGAAAAAAAGACTATCAAACTACTCTTCATTACATATTTCATTCAAAGCCAATAGCTAGTCACTGGTCTACACCTTGAAAGCAAATATAATGTCGGAACTATCAATTTGTAGTGTCACTCTCTTCAACCTGTCTTCTCTAGAATTACCAAGTTTGAGGAGGCCCTGGACATTCAACTAGACAGTTACATGTTGTAGAAAAAATTAAAAACGAGTAACTGGATAAAAGTAAAGTTGTAGCATGCATTTCAACCTGGTCACTGAGTACTCCACACATGCTTGTAAATTCCAGCATCCCAACAGCAGGGACTTGGGTAGATTTACAGATTCCTATATAAGATTTGTTCAGCTGCATCCAGAAAACATTTACAAGATCTCCATCAACACTAGAAATGCATTGCAGAACAGATCATTACTGAATAACATAAAAGCAAATTTATCCCTTTAAGGGGAAAGTAAAAGCAAATTTACTTGCTTCTAATTGATTGAAATAATGTTATGTAGTCCTAAGTGTAACAGGAGTGAAGATTATGTGTGTATGCGGGATACTTGTGTGTATATACAGTGTGCTTGTGTTTTTGCAAGCACCGGTGCACATTTGTGGGAGAGAAGGTTACAAGGTGACATTGGTACACTGAATCTCATTCCAAGAGAAACAGGTGAGGGAGACATTTTGCAGTCACAAGCAGCAAAGCACCATATTCAGATGGCTTTCAGATTTTATCGTATAAGATCCTTCTACTGGAGATACAAGACTGTTCTCATGTAAAATGTTGGAGAGCTTTTTTTTTGTAGGGGAAGATATCTAGGTTAGCAGATCTCTGCAGCAGTTGTCAATATATCATGTCGTCAAGCTGTTCCCCCCCCCCCCCCAGAAACGATCATCAACTTCATCCAAGGAAGCTTCCTGCAGGTATTTATATATAGATATGTCGCAACAGAGCGGTGGCCATTTCTACAACGGAGTATTTAAAACACATGAACTTGTGAAGAAGCCTTCCAAAAGTTCATGTAATCCAAGCGATAGTACCTGTTACATATTGTTGTGCGCATAGAGAAAAGAACAGGAAATCATGAGGCCTGAAACCATTGGGAGTATACTTTCCTCTAGAGTTGTGTTGTACTCATTTTTTTTAATGCAGAGAAGACTCCTCTATGTGTGTGCATGTCTGTTTGTAGTCAGTATCTATGGGCAAGCATGCAAAAATAACACTTGAACACGTAATACACAACTCAGTAAAAGCATAATGAATGGAGTGGACAAATTGAAGTAAAGCAGGAAGCTTAAGCTTTTTGTAAGGATAGACATTAAAATCAAAACAGAATTGGAAATACCTCTCCCACAGTAGTGCCATTCTTCTTGCTCTGACGGAAAAGCTTCACTAGCGAGCACAATATAATCTGCAAATGCCAAAATATATATATGTTAAACTGATGCTTCTAGCTTTGGTTGATATATGGAAATGCTAAAAAATTCTATCCCAGAGAAAAGAGCAGCGCTTTTATATGTAATACTTAAATGAAGCCTTCTAAGAGAACAGGGTAAAAATTTCCCATTAGCAATATACATGTATTAGCATGAGGCAACATGAATCAGCTCTGCTTGCAACATATGAACTGTTTGAGGATAGTGCAAATGTGAAGTATTTCACCTTGCATCATATGATTAGTCAGCACAAACAAGAGTGCCCTGCTCCAACATGGAACAGGATGTTGGACATGGCAATTGTTCGATACCCACGCACAAGAATACAGCTATATGTGCATTTTGTGCAGGTATATGTTTATTTGAATCATTAATGTGTGTTTGCTGTTATTCAAAGTGAAAAGATCTACTTTTTATCAAAACCATTTTGTGCAAGTACTTTTTTTTTCAAAGGAACACATTACACTCCATTGCACATAAATTTTTAGGTAAACAGCAGTATACAAATTGTTTTTCTTAGAAAAAGTGCACAGAATTTTTGTTGTCAGATGCACACAGACATGTGTGTCTTATCTGGGTATGTTGGGAACACCGATTTTCATCAAGGAAAGTGTCCTTCCTATCGAAGCTTGCAACTATCTTCCCTCTTGAATTGACCCAATTCAGACCCTACAATATGAATCTTAGTTATAGCGCTACTGAATAAGCTTCAATCGAAAATGTGATGTTAACTTTCAAAATCATGGACATCACTGGTTTCACTTGTTGAACATATCATTTTCTGGTGCGTACCAAGTTATCTTGGTACCACATTTTTTTGACCTTGTGCTATCGACATGTTTGAATTTGACCAAAGCCTCTTAGCTATTCAACTTCAGCTATTGCTCTTCAAGTCTAACTATCAAATAAATGTACACTTGTTGCCAAGGAGGAACTGAATATTCCAAGGATTTGAATATTTGAAGGTTCACTAGGCCTCATAGATTTCAAGACCACGCTGTGGTGTCTCAAATAGTCCAGTACACTTCATGAGCTGAACAATGTATGCCATATGTTATATCAGCAAAAATAATCTGTGTTAAGGTTTGCAACTTGAAAGATTAGATAGGCTCGACTATTAATTTGAAAGAAGCAAAACTAGTAGCTATAATCTAGCCAATAACAGTCATTAAAGAATTTTGACAATCTCGATTGGCGTTTACCTGTTGATGCTGTGGAAGGGATTGTATGGTATCAACTACTGCTGACTTGAATGCCTTTGATAAAGCAAGCTCCATATGGTTGAAACCCACCTAGAAACAGTTGAAAATAGCTTATTGCAAATAAAGCAAATTATCAAGAACCAAATGTGAAAGAAAACAATTATCTTCTATGCACTCCAATTAAGCTTTTGCAACCACCAAGGCCTGATTCACTTGTGAAAAGGGAATTGAGTTTTGGAAGGGTCCCAAATTCAAGGTGGGACTATAGTCTTTGTTCGAAAATGAAAAAAAAGGAATGCAACTCATTGCATAATACTTACTAAAGTTGGTATGGACTACAAAACGTATAATAGTTGAGATACTCACTCATTCAAGCAGATTAAGCACAACTCTTTTACTGGTTTAACCACCAAGTAACAGAGTTATCTATTATGCTAGTCTAATATGCTTTACGTTAGTTACCTACTGCTTCACTAAAAAAAGAAAGCGAAAAAAACCTTTAAGTTGGTATTAAATGAGCATTACATCCCCAGTTCAATATTTAGATTTAGAGATCAAGTTCAAAAGTCTATCCAACTAAAAGAGAGATGATAAAACTATGGTAATACTGCATAGTTCAAACATAAAGCAAAACCACCTATGTATCAGTAAACAACACACTTGTTAAATGTCGATCAATATAAGCTCTAGTCAAAATGCATTGCTAATAGGTTAATCGTCTTACAAGGTTAAATTCCTTCTTTGTATCCCTGAGCTCTGCCTCAAGCAACTCAATTGCACTCCTGAAATGCAGCAAACAGAAAGAGATACAAAAGATACCGTTACCTTCCATAAAATGTAGAATTTTAAAGTACCAACTAACAGCGTAAATTATCTTTGCAGGTACGTCAATAAGGAATTGCAAAATATAGCATTACCCATCAGTTAGTATAGGCATTAAATCAAGATTCAAAAGTGCCTTAACAAATGTCACTGAATAGAGACTCCAGTCATTAAAGTGAAACAGGTGTTAAAGTTTGAGGGAGAAGTACATAAATAACTAAAAGACGCGAGGATTAAAAGTGTAGAGAAGGGAATAGACCACTGCAATCACAACTGCAACACCATCATCACCATTGTTTTTTCCCCGTCGAAACAGAGCTTTGGAGCATGAGGGCCCACTAACTATTTGGAAGAGTTTTAAAGTGTTGGTCGACTTGATGCCTATGCTCAATTGATAATTGCAAGTTCCCAGGAAGGAACTATGGATAAGGCACACTTTTTAATCCTAAGCAAAGTGATCACCTTTTTAGCCAACACCTTAACCGATCCAGTTTAAATCCAAAAAGAACAGTGACAAAAAGAACGGAGAAAGGGTAGGAAGCAAGGAAGGAGGGCTCTTGCCTTTCATGGCTGGCTAGGGAGAAATGCAACATGATGGCCATCATGGATGAGAAAATGCAGATAAAGTAGCACAAGCAAGAAAAAGAAGAGTGCATATTTAGTGGATATTGGATATGACCTGCCACCTTATTTAACAAAGTGACTACCAATAGATATAAGGGTGAGATTCACACCTGCTGATGTGAATAGCAGGGCATGCCTCGTCACTAGTCTATCTCTTGGTAGCTCATCTAACAAAATGAGATGCCACCTCATACCCTTCTTTTTGCTAGATGGAAATAATGAGTGTGAGGTGGGCATGCACCTGCACACAGATACCCCAATTCACCAGCACCCCCAGCTTGCACCCAATCCACACCACATCGACACTCCATCCACACAGGCACGCACGCACATATTTAAATGTATATACATATACATATACATATACATACACAAATATAGATAAACATGCACATGTGGTAAGGGTACGACACACATATGGTGTAACTAAGAAGTTTACACCTACATATGAAATTATATGTTCATTCATCAATATTGATGATCCAAACTATCAATTGTGATCTATATGTCCTAAAAATCAGAGAATAAAATTGGATTAAAAAATTCCGCTCGACACATCTCATCACCTAGAAATGACTGCATGCAAAAAAAAACACGCAACCCTCCTCCTTTATCCTGGCTTGGGACATGCAACGCTGGCAATAGAATAAAGCACAGCACAGGCGGAGTTTAGAAATGACTGCATGCAACAGTCTCAACAGTTGGTAATTTTGAGGTGCTTGAATTGTAGGATAGGCAATTCCAAATCACTTGATTTTGATCCAGTTGGGTTTGATGATGTGTATTGTAACCTCACTCTCTCACATGCACACGTGTATATGTAGTACATTAAGAAGAGGAAAAAAAACTTAACAGTCTTAAGTATTGATTATTTATAACCATGAGGTATCAAAACACAATAAACTATGTATAGCAGCTGCAAGACACCTAGCAATCATCAACACTGAAATAGACTTACCGACAAACACCAAGCGCTCTCCTCATGTCACCTGAGGCAGCTGCAACTTTCTGACATTAAAAAATTGTCAGTTGATGGTTAAAAGAAAACATGTTTCAAATAATTTATGCTTTAAACTGATGCTTTTAATTGTTCAATCATACAAAGGATTTAATGGGTACCTAAAGAGCTGGATAGGGCTGAGCTCTTTTACAGAAGTATGCATTGCCTAGTTGTTGATAAGTTTCTTACACTATTGCATAAGGACATATGGTGTTGTTTTAAATGTGTATTTCATTGTCTTTAATCTGTGCGTAAGATTACTTATTCCTATACCCCATTTAAATTTTATTTATAAGGGACTCAAGGAATACATGTTAAAAGATGGCAAAATTACTTAAATATATAGGTTTTATAAGTAACATACTAATGTCTTCTATCTAATAAATACAACAAATAATTTAGTTATGTTATTGCTACTAACTTGAATAGTTTGAACTTATGGTTAGCAACATCGTTCTTATGTTGACTTTGTAGGAACTAGGAAGTTCACACTATTCAACTGGAAATTGTGAAGTTCACTCTCTTAATCAGACCTTCAGAGTAATGAACTGACTATACACTTCAGTGAAATTTGCATACTAAGCTTGGACAAATCATTGGTAGAAGAAAGTACCGTAATGCAATTGTTTGTACTAGTGTAGGACCATGATGAACCTCAGTTGAGTAGAAGCTGTATTGAAAAACTTCAGTTGGAATTGAAATTCTACTGCTTCTATAACAATTATCATTTAGGAGGACAACTATCAGCAAATAAAGGATATAGATGTGAGAAGACAACAGAAATTCATGTTGGTCCGACGAAGGATGCTGTGTATTGCAATATATGATGATGACAAAACTTGCTAATCATTAAACAGACTAAGACAAGCATAAACACTTACTCTAGCACAGAATTCTAACGCTGAAGGTTGGAAGACATCATATCCGAGAACCTAATTAAGAGAAAAAAAGGTCTATTAATTATAACCTATGCTACACTAGAATTGATAAATCATTAGTAGTTGCTATATTAGAGACTTCCAAGGAAATGATAAAGCGGTAAAGGAATGCAGGAATTACCATAAGCCTCTGCTGTAGAATCTTAAGTATTTGGTCTGCAGAATAGGCACGGAATGTTATGATAGAGGGCTTGCCTGATGTTAACACAATAATTTCCAAGAAAATAATTAGTTCTGAAATGGTGCAGTGCGGTACAAAATGAGCTGTGAATCACAAAGCAGAATGTTTTAAGAATTTGAGAGCTCTAAAACGTTTATCCCTTGTACTTTCTCTATAAAACTGACAGTTGTAAGAAAGATAAATATGAGTCCACCATACTCACAATTCAGGGATTCAAGTTTTGGAAGAAACCTATCTGCAAGATCAATCGCATTTGCTATTCCTGCACAAACAAAACTGAAATCAGTGCAAATATCAAATTCAAGATCAAACAGAAACCAGGGACTTATTTACCACACAATTTGAAGTTACGGCAAATGCTAGCTCCATAATATTAATTATGATCATAAAAAAGATATACCTACTAGTATGCATCTAGAAAATGGGAAGGTCGTAAGCATGAAAAGATCATGCAACACTGAACGATCTCTAGTGATCAAGTAATCCATCTCATCAATGACCAGCAATCTGTCACCAATAAGATAGTGATATCAAAGTTGCTACTAATGAGATTGACATGAAATAAAATATTCTGAAAACTATGCGTAATGTTTTTGCCAATAAGAAATACTTTGAAAAATGTAAATTGCAGTAAACGAGTTTGTTACTTACATCATCCTTCGAGAAGTTAGCTGTCCCTTTTGAGAAAACAAAGTCTGGAGATGCTGAAGAGGAGAGAAAGAGCCATTCATCTTCTTATGAGGACGAAAATTCTCCAGTATCTGCAATAAAAGATTTGGAGGAATTTTTTGTGGCATGCTTCTTTTTTATTTCATTGGACCAAACTACTTCATTGTCTTTATAGAATACCTTGCTGAAAATATCAGATGTGTTTGCGAGAGAAGTACAGTTTATAGCTATCATGTCCAGCAACTGATATCCCCTCTGAAAGTTAAATATAGTAGCAATTATTTTCACGAAGTGAGGATTATGCCACGTGCTAAGGAGAAAAATAATCTTAAAATGAAGCATGTATACCTTCATATATATAGTTAGACATCACAGAATTTAACATACTACTAATAGTAACCTTGTCATTGTTAAAAAGAAGGCAATTGCATATTAGGAGCATGCAAGTAATGTATTAAACAAATATGTTAAAGGAGTTTAACGGTGAACATAACAAATCTGATATGCGGTGGAAAACATATAATTATTTGTCACATGAAGTTATAAGTTTCAAGATACCCAGTTGATGGGACAACAAATTATAATAATTACAAAATTTGTCTGTAACAAATTACAACATGTATATGGTATATCTCCATAAGTAAATCTTCTCTTATCCCATTCAAAATTGTGGGCAACATGTGCTTAAGTTTTACTGTTGATTACCATGGCAACCAACTAACATTGTTAGATGCTTAAGAAGCACAAAGAATGAAACAGCTATAAATAGTCATTTATGATAGCTTTCATCACTTCATGTTGCAAGACAAGTAAGACTCCTACTCTAGCTCTCGTTACATTCATCGCCTAGCAGCAAAACAGAAGAATTATAACTTATTTGGTCAGATCCATGCATGTCAGATAGGGAAATAGCTCTAACCATATTTCTGTACCATACAGGATGTTGCGGTCATATGTGATCCATTATTTTTTATTATTGGATATTCTGATATACCAACAAGCATAAATATATCCAAGCAAACTTTTCATAAATCATATTAACCTATCTTCTGCTTTCTGTTATAAGATTGTGATTCAAGGCTTCTCTTAATTCTATATATGAACGATACTTTATTGAGAGATATGGTGAGTAATTACCCCATGTGTTCCATTGATAAGAGTTCAACGAAACAACTCAAAATATATATGACCAATATTAATTGACAGAGCGAGAGGTTTATAAAGTTAAATACCTCTTTTGACCACACCAGAATGAGCTCTTTCACTCTTTCAATAGACATTGTTTTACCAGTACCAGGGCATCCACACACATACAAGCTACCAGCTTTCTCTCTTTCAATGCATCCCTTGCAGAAGTCGAGAACCTTTCTCTGCTCCTCTTCACGACACACAATATTGGTCGGCGACGTAGCTACATGCAATGCTTCCTTCACAGCTTGCATCTGTGCAGGATCTGCACATGATGTATTTGCAACCACATTAGTCGGTCATGACAAGAGCGAGACAATATCAAAGTGAACCCCAGTTAAGTAACTATTTGATAGAGAGATGAAACCGAGTTGGTGAAACCCAATTGAGGCAATAATGTAGCTTCTGAGGCTCTCAGTGCAGTTGCATTGGAGATGATTGAAGGCTTTCTAACCAATTACAATGGTAAAGTCTTAGCAAAATAGATCCTCAACTGCAACCTAGGGAGATGTCAAAAAGAAACCTAAGGAAGCATAAGACTCTGGAAGAAAAATGGTTCGCATTCAAGTTCATAGGCGCGATGAGGCGAGGAGAGAGAATTACGGAAATGTTATTCAAACAACTTAGGATAGGGGAAAGGGTTCTACTCATGCAGGTCTTGGCAATCGATGACGGCGTGATGAGAAACCAAATTTGAAAGCAAAAAAACAAAAAACAAAAAGTGCAGGTGTTGGGGTAAAGAGAGAGAAAGAGCGAGAGAGAATCGACTTGCCTCTTGGATTCCACTTGGTCTTTTGAGACAATTGATCGGACAACCTTTTCCTCGGAGACTTTCTTGGAGAATCTACGATCTTCGCGTCGGTGGAAACCTATTTGGACGGAAAGGAGAAAGTTAATATTTTTATTAATAGGAAGGGGTTAGGGATCTGGAACGGGTTTGCCTCACGTCTCCTTCGCAATTTTTGTCGGCGTCGGCGCGTCTGCGAGGAGATCTCCATTTGATCGGAGTCTGAGGCTTGATCGGAGTCGTTTCCGGGCTGGATTGGTTCCTCGAACGCTTTCTACTGACCGTCGGACCTTCCTCCCTAACCTCCAGCGCGGAAGCGGTGATCGATGCGTTCACGATTCTGCTCCCTGGCATTTTTCTAGGGTTTCTTTGCTGGAGATCAGTAATGGAGGAGAGACGATCGAAAGGATTTTGGTGGGCGTGGGGGGAGGGGGAGAGGGTTAGTAGTCTTCTGAAGAAAGGGGTCTGTTTTCGCGCGGGAATTGAAAGAACGCCCGACTTTGCCGCCAATAGTGCAGAATCGAATCAAACAACAGCAAGTTCGGATTGGAATTCGGTTCCGGTTTCTCGTAGCGAATTATTAGAGAAAGGCCGCGGCTATATCCATCGTGTGTGAGGGTAATTTTGAGATTTTTCAAGGGTAAGAAGAAGGCCACGTTTTCGATGAGGGTAATTTTGATCTATACAAAAATAGTTTGAGGCTATTTGTGATGGAGATTGTTAATGTGATGTTATTTCTGGATATATTGCTTTTGTGTGGCAAGAGATAAATAAGTTTGTTTACCTCTGATCCATCTTTGGATTGGCGGTTTGCTTACCACTGATCCACCTTTGGATTTTTTGCAAGTTACTTATTTAGTGCTAACCAATTTCAACATTTGGAAGATTCGAGCCTTGTAGTTTATTGAGCTATACATGCTTCATTGTTCTTTGTTACTTTTATTATAGCTATAGACTTGATTCTTATGAACTAGATGCCACGTCTCGCACTTTATTTTTTTTAATCTAAGGAGGCTCACCTTGCTCTTTACTTTGACCAATTTTTATGGAAATAAAAATAAATAAATGAATGTGAAAAAGGCAGTTTTTTTGTGAGGGTAAAGTTGGGATGTAGCACCAGTTCGGTATCGCTAGATCTTATAATAAGTTGCTTACATAAGCAACTTATATAAGATGTAGAAATAGTTGTTGGTAATCATATATCAAAATTTGCTTCCACAGGCATTTAACGTGTTTGTCAAAATTATGCTTTAAAATCACCGTAAAAAGTGTAGGCCACATATGAAATATTAACTAAAAAATAAAAGCTGCTTTTAAAAATACCATGCCGATGCTACTAAAAGCGCCCTTTAAAAGCAAATACAGTTTCAATGAGCATGCAAAAAGAAAATTCACCAAATGTTATGGTGTTTTTAGTCGTCAATTTGTGGCCCTTTGCCAGCAACGGACATATGTCTCCCGTCACACACCATTCAATCGAATTGACGCTCAGGCATTTTTTGGAAGATAATGTTGGTTTTAAACGTCGGTCCACGTGGGGTGTGTGTTGGGGGCTAGAGAAAAATCGCTGAGTTTTTTGCTAGATTT